ACTATTTGATTGTTCCAATTTAGTATCCAAACTCCTAAAAATATTGACAATGCATAATTTTGAATCTAATTTTAATTTAGAATTTTGATTTTATACCAGTTTTATCGTTATAATGGTATTGTTAACCGAAAATTTTTGTTCTTCTAACGTGAAAAAATTGACAATGTGTCAAATTACGTAACGGAAAACGTTTATAACAAACGCCGTTAAACTGGTCGAGCATGGCGTCCTTCTCTGCCTCACTGAGCAGAGGGTCGTCGAACTCGACAAAGACAACCTTACCCTTATGCTCATCGCAGTAGGTTAGGAACTCTTCACTGTTTTTGCCCGGCCGTTTCTTCACCGGGGACGGCGTTGGAGAGCTCTTTCGACGCGAGGAAGAGCCTCTTTTCACGACATTCACCAAATTTTTCTTCATATTTTGGGTGGGAAATACCAAGGCCCGATCTCAAAATATATACTAAAATGAAAGAATATACAATGGTTACCTTCCGGAGAAGCAGCAGCTTTCTATTTATACTAATGTTAGAAATCAAAATAAAATAATTAATCATTTTTTATCTTTGAACTACAGTAAAATATTTCTAAACTAAATGGATCATACAACAAACGCAATTAAGGATGATTTTGTATTATCCATTTAGTTTAGAAATATTTTATAGTAATTCAAAGATAAGAAATGGTTAATTATTTTATTTGATTTCTAATAATCGGTATAAATGGAAACATTTTAAAAACAATATTTAACTTTTTAATATAATTTGATATTGAGGTTAAAAAAAATTATTAACAGTCCATTCAACATGTTTTTAATAGAAAGTTTGTTTATATCAGTTAGTTGTTAAATAAGTTATCCAAAAGATTTAGTTAACATTATAAAAAATCCTATATAAGTATCCCAACTCTTCTAAATGTACCGAATTCGCACCTGAACAATTAATTTTGTCTGATTAATAGCTTAACTATTTGATTGTGCTAATTTAGTGTCCAAACTCTTAAAAATATTGACAATGCATAATTTTGAATCTAATTTTAATTTAGGAATTTTGATTTTATACCGGTTTTGTCGTAATAATGGTATTATTAACCGAAAATTTTTTGTTTTTCTAACGTGAAAAAATTGACAATGTGTCAAATTACGTAACGGAAAACGTTTACAACAAACGCCGTTAAGGATGAAATTGGGAATTGATATCACTTTTAGAATTCGGGGCATGAATGTGACACAATTAAATACTTAAGATACTAATTACATAAATTAATTATTCAGAGATTTATTTGGCACATTGGAAGAGTTGGGATTTTATTGTCAATACCAATGATTTTCTTTTTGAAACACAAGTACTTCATATTACATAAATAGATTAATAGTGGCGATATTTAGGATATATGTTTATTTTTAATTAGATTATTTATTATTCTAATTTTTATTTTAAAAAAATAAATCCATCTTGTTTTTAGGAATTTGTTTGATTTTTTAAAAAATATTTATTAATAAAAAAAATTATTTTCTTTTCATTGTACAAGTTTATTTGTAATTGGATTAAATTAAATTTTAAAAATAATTCCCAATGAATTTTGAATCATAATTGATTTGAATACAATATTATATTGCTCTACTCCATTTTATATGAAGTAAAATCAGCATCAATAAACTCACCACTCATTGTAAAGTTATTAACTCTCCAGGAACCAAACCGTAGCAATCTTGTTGGAAAATGTTTTATCCACTTTTCCAAATTCTTTTATGTCAACATCCAAATTCAATGCAATTATTTTAAATAAAAAAAGATCTAATCCAAATATGGAGAAAAGGTTTAAAAAAATTAGAGTGTTTTAATAAATTTTAAATTTTCACACATTTTAAAACCTTACAGAATATAAATAAATTTAGAGTACCTCTTAATTTTAATTATTATATTTGTTTGTATTTATAATTTGATAAAATGGTGTAGCTGAAATGATTTTTATATTTTTATCTATAATTTCTATTATTTAGAGACTTTTATGCGATTAATTTTGTGAATATAACATTATTCCACTAGTTACCAATTTGTAGACGTGTTTAATTTGGGTCTTTTATAGAAATAAATGATATTTTAAAATATTTTAGTAAATAATTAATATTTTAGTTATTCGTATTCACAACACTGCAGCCCATTTAGACAACCACACTTTGCTTTGTCTTTTTTTTATCTTTTTCTTTTTTCTTTTTGTTGCTTTCTCATCATACATTTATGCGAGAGCAACAAAAAAAAATGACCCACACATTAAATGAAGAATTTTATTGAAGTGTAAATATGTTATTCTGCAGAATATTTAAAAAAAAATAGAATTTGAGAAGGGTGAGTGAAAATAAGGGTAATTTTGTTGTATTGCCTTGAAATATTTAACATTTGGTACATTGTGTAAATATGGGCTTGATCAAATGGGCTGTACCCAAAACAATTTAATTGATTTAAGGACAAAAATGGCCCCAAAACCTGTTTGTTACTCCATTTGTAGTTTTGTATCCGAGTATAGAGCAAGGTTTTGTTTGGATTCCATTTCAGATTCACTATCTATTTATCAGATTCCATGAATATTTTATTAAATAAAAAAAATGAATCCTCATATAAATTTATCTTTTTTATTTGACCACGACAAGTTTTTATGATAAAAAATAAATTTATCAGCTAGAGATTGAGTTGCGTGTTGCGTATTTGATGCTCCCGTAAATCCCGTTTGTGAGACTAAAATATTTTTAGAGAGAAGATGTTGAAAAAAGAGAGGAGATTCAAATGGGGAAAAAATATATATTAGGTCAAGATCCAATTCATGCCACCGGAAACGCCAAAGGAATAGAAAAGTTTGGCCGAATTTTCATTTACATATTCTTTAAATAATAATAAAGTTTGGTGAAATTGTAATGTCGTGATTGAAGGAGATGTATAGTCAGTGGTCACTATCGAGTTGGTTAATATTACATCAATCCAATTGCACCAAACATGCAAAATGCTAAATCAATATAATAAAATACCTAGTGATTGTTTAAAATTCCTTTCAGTTTTGAAATATCCATTATACACTTTGAGAAAACTTCCTTGTTAATTAAGACCATTATTATATGTATAAAAATTTGATTAATTATTCTTTTGTTTATCGAACTAATAAATTAATAATTACTCTGTTCAAGAGAGTATTAAATGTTTGATCGGATGAAGATCCAACAGCTAGGTAAATTCGGATTTTCATTAGTAGATATATTATATTATTATTAGAAATATATTATATTATTATTAGAAATTTTCGATTATAAAGAGATATAGAGAAGATTATGTAATATTATTATCTAATATTTAAATTTGATTTTGTTTTTATATTTTAGATATTTATATTTATTAAATAAAATATTTTGTGATTTCGTTTTCTACTATACATGTTCTAATGTTCTATGTTAAATAATGAAGAATCAAATTATTCTCCACTCTTTCTCTATTATCAATTAGTCCCATAAATATAAAAAAACTGTAAATCTCCAATTATTAACTGTGGTAATATATATATATATATATATATATATATATTTATATCAGTTAGTTGTTAAATAAGTTATCCAAAAGATTTAGTTAACATTATAAAAAATCCTATATAAGTATCCCAACTCTTCTAAATGTACCGAATTCGCACCTGAACAATTAATTTTGTCTGATTAATAGCTTAACTATTTGATTGTGCTAATTTAGTGTAATATAACAATTGTTTTACAATTTATCATCATAATAACATTTAGTTCATTTTTTTGTTTTGATATATTTTTTTAGTTTCCACAAATATTGGTGGTCGAAGGAAATGAAAATGGTAATAAACCAACTTCTATAATCCTATAGTTTTATTTTTTTAAAATAAGAAGAAAACAGCGATATACCTTAATTTTTATCACCGAATTTTTATAAATTAATCTAAACAAAATTGACAAACGGATCATCGAAAACAACTGGAAAATGCAAAGTAAATGCATCCTTTTCTTTATTAATTGTTACAAACGAAACTCTGTGTGTGTGTATGTATGTATGTATGTATGTATGTATGTATGTATGTATGTATGTATGTATGTATGTATGTATGTATGTATGTATGTATGTATGTATGTGTGATGTTTTGGTGAGGTTATATTTGTAATAATCGTAAAATGTATTAGGAGAGTCGGTGACTTATAAAGCAGTCGAAATTAAGTAGTAATCATAAATATGTTGAGTTTATTGCAAGATACGAAATTGGGTCCCCTTTCATTTGGTAGGCAATTGATGATTTGATTTTGATGGATCGTTTTAACATTTGATATATATATATATATATATATAGAGCTTTTTCTACTCTTATATTAGTGCGTCTTAGAGCATCATTATTTAATTTTACATTTTTATAATCATGTAACCAACTTTATAGTTGAAACCTAGATATCTATTCCATAATCTTTTATTTTTTAAACTAAAAAAATAAGAAAAAAAAACTAAATATATATGTTATAAACCTCAAAGATTATCTTAAATTGTTCAATATCCAGGTTAGAGTTCGAATATAAACGTTTATCATTTGATGCATTGAAAATTAGTTTAAATATATAAAATTTAAAAATGTTAATTCATAGTTGAATATCCCTTAGAATAACTCTTGATTTATAAAAAAAATAAATATATATATATATATGTGATGTTTGAAAATTTCGTCAAATTTGAATCAATTTAAAAAACACAAACGCTCTTAAATTGTGTTTGTTTTCCTTGTGCTCCGTATGTAAAACTCTCATTTCCACAAATCATTTTCAGAAAAAAAAATATAAAACAAAATTGGACCCATGTAAAGAACAAAAAAAATCCAAAAGAACAAAAAAAAAAGAAAAATGAATTTAACAAAGTGGAAAACTGCATATAATTTACACAATGGAAACGTGAGTGAAAATATTTTTACTAAAATAAAACTACAAAAAGAATTCCAAAAAAAACAAAAATACAAAAGAATTCCGAAAAAAAGGAAATACAAAAGAATTGAAGTACATTAAGGAAGAAGGAAGAAGAAGAGAGAAAATTAAAGGAAAGCTCACAGCCCCTAACTTCACTACCTGAAGCCCTCATCAAAAATTCCTCTTTTCCATCAGTAATCACAAGTAATTTCTTAAGCCCATCAACTAAAATGCAATGAATTTTCTAATCAAACCCCTTAATTGCTCTCTTAATCTCTCTCTCTTCTAAGCTAAGATGTGTTTCTGGCCACTGATTCTTCCTAATCCTTGCAAATTTCTATTTGACTCCAAAGACTTGGAACCAAAAGGACAAACCCTCCTTTGAGCCCCTAAACAACTGATCATCTTCTTCAAACATACTCTATGGCAATGTGAGCGTTGTTGTTTGGAATCAGCTCTTCCAAATCGCTACTCTCCGCCTCGGCGTTATCAACCGCGTCTCCGATGCCGCCGTCGCATTTCTTGCTCCTCATTTCGATGACTTTCTTGTGGGAGTTTGAGTGAAGAGCCGGTGTGAAGGTCGGGCTAGCTGCCGGGCGGTACTCGGGGAAGAGCCTTCCTGACTTGTAGCGCACCCCACAAGCATTGCATAGAGTCTTTGGACCCATCGGCCCTAGCCTCCACTGCGGCGTCTTGGTCACTTCACAGTGCATGCATTTCCTAACGGGTTGGTCCGAGGAGGAAGAGTCGTGGTGGTGGTTCTCATCCACATCCTGGTCGAGACCCGAGGAGGAAGAAGGCGAGACCTTTGCCTTCTTCTTCTTGATCTTCTTGCTATGCTCCGAGAGAAAATGCTTGGGGATTCTGATCACAAGGCGTGACTCGGCAGCACTTGCACCAGAGAAGCTATCTTTCTCTTCGTTCGGTTCTTGGGCTGCCACTGGACGTGGGCGTTTGGTGCGTGGACGGCCGTGCTTTCCGGGTACGATGATCGGTTC